GATTAATTTGAGTTCGACTATATTATAATTGACCGAGGTTGTACTAACTTGACTTCAATTGTACTAATTTGACTTCAATTAGATTAATTTGAGTTCGATTATATTATAATTGACCGAGATTGTACTAATTTGACTTCAATTATACTAATTTGAATTCAATTAGATTAATTCGAGTTCGATTATATTATAATTGACCGAGATTGTACTAATTTGACTTCAATTGTACTAATTTGACTTCAATTGTACTAATTTGACTTCAATATGACTTATTCGAGTTCGATTACACTATAATTGACCGAGATTGTACTAATTTGCTTCAATTGGACTAATTAGAGTTCAATTACAATATAATTGACAGAGATTGTACTAATTTGACTTCAATTGTACTAATTGGACCTCAATTGGACTAATTAGAGTTCGATTACAATATAATTGACAGAGATTGTACTAATTTGACTTCAATTGCACTAATTGGACTTCAATTGTAGCAATTCGAGTTCAATTACAATATAATTGTCTGATATTGTACTAATTGGATCTCAATTGTACTAATTCGAGTTCGATTACATTATAATTGACCGAGATTGTACTAATTTGACTTCAATTGTACTAATTTGATTTCAATTGGACTAATTCGAGTTCGATTACAATATAATTGTCCGAGATTATACTAATTGGACTAACTAGAGTTCGATTACAATATAATTGACCGAGATTGCACAAATTTGACTTCAATTATACTAATTTGACTTCAATTGGACTAATTCGAGTTCGATTACAATATAATTGTCTGATATTGTACTAATTGGACTAATTAGAGTTCGACTACAATATAATTGACTTCAATTGTACTAATTTGACTTCAATTGTACTAATTTGACTTCAATTAGACTAATTCAAGTTCAATACAAAATAAACAGATTTTCAAAATAGATTTTTATTAAAAACGGATTTTGAATAAAAAAATGTTTTTTATTAAATAAAAATAAAAGTTCTTTAAAAAATAAAAATATTTTTTTTAAAAAAAATATTTTTTTTTTTAAAAAACGGATTTTTAAATAAAAATAAATTTTATTTCAAAAAAATTAAATAATTTTTTTTTTATTAAAAATAATTTTTTATACATAAAAAATTAAATAAAAATATTTTTTATTTAATAAAAATAAAAATAAAAGTTTTAAAAAAAATAAAAAATATTTTTTTTTTTAAAAATTTTTTTTTTTTTAAAACGGATTTTTTTATTTTTTTTTAAAAATAAAGTTTTATGCAAAAAAATTAAATAAAAATATTTTTTTATTAAAAAATAATTATTTATACAAATTCTTTTTAAAAAAATTATTAAAAAATAATTTATTTTACAAAAATAAATTAAATAAAAAATATTTTTTTATTAAATAAAAATAAAAATAAAAGTTTTTTAAAAAAATAAAAATAATTTTTTTTTTTTCAAAATAACGACTGTAGATTCGTTATACCATACAAAATAACGATTGTACAATCGTTATATTGAAACGAATGTATGTCGCGGCCGTGACAGGTGTCGCGGTAGCAACACTGGGCCCTGTTGGTTGGACAGAGAATGTTGCCAGGACGTCGCGGCCGCGACAGTCGTCGCGCCAGCGACAAGCAAGTTTTTTTTTTTTTTTAGAAATATCGTGTTAAATCTTTTTAGATTCTTTATTTTACATGAAAATTGGCTAAAATTACATCGACAACGAGCTTAATATAAATGTGTACCAATAATGATTGAGGTGTCGATTAAGGTGAAATTGATCGAAAAACAACTATAACGATTATATATTCGTTTTTCACTTAAAAAACGATTATACAATCATTTTAGTTATTTTTCGGAACAAAACACGATTTTTTTTTTGGATTTTTCGATCGAATTACTTGATAAGGCATGCATATTCATGATTCGTGTCATTTGAACAATAGTTTGAAGGTGTTGGAGCGTCCAACCAATGACAATGGATCTCTTTTTTTAAAACACCAACACTTGTTCTTTATTATTATTTTTTTTTTTTTTAAAATTAGAAATATCATGTTAAATCTTTTTAGATTCTTTATTTTACATGAAAGTTGGCTAAAATTATACCGACAACGAGCTTAATATATTTATAATGTGTACCAATAACGATTGAGGTGTCGATTGAGGTGGAATTGGTCGAAAAACAACTATAACGATTATATATTCGTTTTTCACTTAAAAAACGATTACACAATTGTTTTAGTTGTTTTCAGAACAAAACGCGATTTTTGGCTTGATAAATGAATAAAATTATGCCTATAACGAGCTTAATATCTTAATAATGTATTATATGACGATTGAGTCTCGATTAAGGTGGAATTGGTCGAAAACAATTATAACGATTATATATTCGTTTTTTACTGGAAAAAACAATTATACAATCGTTTTAGTTATTTTTGGGAACAAAACGTGATTTTTTCGGATTTTTTGATCGAATTAATTGATAAGGCATGTATATTCATGATTCGTGTAATTTGAGGGATAGTTTGGAATTTTTGGAGCGTCCAAACAATGACAATGGATA